CTAATAAAGCTGCCTTTCTAAACTGATTACTGTCTTGGTAAATTCTTTTGGCAGTCACTGATCACGATGTTTTGGTGGCCCACATGGGGACTCTCCCTACGGGGGACACTTTCCCTCTCCATTCCTACTCAGGACCCTCGGTGGACAGTCTGAAAGTGTGTGGAGACAACTGAAGGTTTCTGGCCAGGACTACACTCTGGTCAAACTGAAAGGTGTCCATTCAGAGGTATCTAACCACCACTGCTTGCTCTGGTGAGGGACCTAAGTTTGCTTTCCTTTTTCAGCCTTCCAGCAGCCAGCTTCCAGTGCCCTTCTGGTGACTGATGATGTCTGGCAAGGCTGCTGCTCCCTGGTGTTGCCTGAAGGTCAACAGAGCTGGCTGCCTTGCCTGGAAGGGAGAGACTCCTCTATCCTTCTCTGGTCAAGAGTTCCAGAACTCTACATGTGGTGCAGTTAGCAATGGCAGCTCATCTAGGGTGAAACCACATACGTTTCGAGTGACTTAGACCTTCTCACTCTAAATTCTCCGCTGAAGAGCCAGCCATCCTGCTGCTCCAGATGTTTTCATCCAGGTGATCCCAAACAGCATCAGAACAGCCAATCTTCCCTCAACCTCTTCCCCTGAGACCTTGGGCCAAGCACTCAGCGTAACTTGTGTCTGGACTGACATGGGACTGTCACCCCAGTGGTCATCCCAGGGTAAGGCACCCTAGCTCTGGGAGGCTTTTTCTAACAGGCAGGATGCCCCTTTAGAAAAGTGCACCTCAGGGTCCTTCAGCAGATGTGAGTGGAGCAGTTTTCCTTGGTAGGATGCCCCAAGTGGCAATTGGTTCAACTAGCCCCAAGCGGCTTGGTTTCCCAGTCACACAGTTCCCAAGTCCCTCAGACTTGCCTCTGGGTTGCATTCTAAAACACTGGAGATCTGGGCACGGTGACCCATGTCTGTAATCCCAGCACTTTGGGAGGCCGAGGTGGGTGGATCACAAGGTCAGCAGATTGAGACCATCCTGGCTAACACAGTGAAACCCTGTCTTTACTAAAACAAACAAACAAAAAGAATTGGCCAGGTGTGGTGGCACACACCTGTAGTCTCAGCTATTTTGGAGGGCGAGGCAGGAAAATTGCTTGCACCTGGGAGGTGGAGGTTGCAGTGAGCCAAGATCATGCCACTGCACTCCAGCCTGGGTGACAGACGTGAGACTCTGTCTATAAAATAAAGTAAAATAAAATAAAAAACATTGGAACAAATTTGGCCTCCGAAATCTCAAAAAGAAATCCTTATTTTTTTAAGCAATGTGGCTTGCCTGCTTTACAAACTTCTGGGCCAGAAATTCTTGTCTCTGAACAAGACCCTTGCTTCCGATACTATGTTACAGCTTGGCCTTTTCTGTCACAACTCCTATAAATGGTCTGAAGTTCTTTTTTTTTAGACACTCTATCACCCAGAATAGAGTGCAGGGGCACAATCTCAGCTCACTGCAACCTCTGCCTCCTGGGTTCAGTCGATTCTCCTACCTTAGCTTCCTGAGTAGCTGGGATTAGAGGCGCACAACACTACACCCAGCTAATTTTTGTATTTTTAGTAGAGATAGGGTTTCACAATGTTGGCCAGGCTGGTCTTGAACTGCTGACCACATGATCCACCCACCTCAGCCTCCCGGGGTGCTGGGATTACAGGTGTGAGCCACCTCACCTGGCCCTGAAGTTCTTTATGTCCAGGATTTTATGACTGTCTCTCTGGATCCCAGTCTCTGCCAAACCTATCCACTGTGCTTGGCTGAATTCTCTAGCACCACTGACTCTTCTGACAATAACACTTCCTCTACCCTTTCTGCTTTCCCCAGGCAGCTGGACTGGTTGAGGCCACCCTGCACATATCACCTTCATGTTCAACTGTCCCTCCTCCATGTGTTCCTTGTCCCTCACCTCCTTGTCATCTCAACCTTGGATGTCATTTTCCAGTTCCACCTCCTTTGCAGGGACTCTTGTCCCCTTCACATACTAGGTTGGGGGCCACTTATGATCCCTCTTTAGGTCCAGACAAGGTTCTTCTGCTCTGAGAAATGGCAAAGGTGGATCTAGGAACCATCAGAGTCCATTTTTCCTTTTTCAGTGTCTGCCCTCTCTCGGATAGAAGCTAAGCTTTTGTCTCCTTTAGCCAAGACCTGTCCCATTTCATAAGACAACTGAAAGGACTAAATATTTTATTTAATATCACTGGCAGGATATTTATATGATCTGTGCCACCTCTTGTGCTCATGAGGAAAAGTCCTGCCTTTGGTCTCTAGCTCGATGATAGGCAGATGAGGTTCATGCCTGGAACCCTCAGGAGTCTGGCCTGGGGAGAACGGGAGTTCCTAATGCTGATCCTAGATGGGGCTACTGAGAGGGAAACACTAGCAGGGAATGCCATCATCATGTGATTACTTGTTTAACTGAAGGCATGAAGAAGGCTGTCATAAAACCAGTCACCTATGCCAAGCTAACAGAGGTAATTCAGGAGCCAAATGAAAACCCAGCTCTATTTTACTGCAGGTTGGCTGAAGCTGTGAGAAAACGTACTAATATGGACCCCGAGAGCTGAGAAGTCCTCGGTATTTTGACTGTTCATTTTATTAGCCGGGCTAATAAATTGCAGGGTGAATGAGACAGAAAAGACCAAGAAAGAGATAAGTGGCAGGTTCACGACACGGCTGCTGCCATTTCAAATTCTCTGCCCATCCCAAGGGCCCCAGGTCAGCCATCAGGATGGAGCCTAACAGCCACTAAGGAACCCACTATCTGCTGTCACTATAATCAGCAGGGCAAATCAGCTGGAAATGCCCAAAGCTTCCCCAATCATACTCTGGTCCTTAGTGACCCTGTCCTCACCGCAAACAAGCAGGACATTGGAAACAGGACTGCCCCTCTCTCCTTTGTGTGGAGGGTCATCACACAACCAGCAACCCCAGTTTGTGAGCCAGTTTGTGAGAATGGAAACCACAAATGCCCCCAACTGTATTCTTTGACTATGAGAAACTTATGAAACTCAGGAGGCAGAAAAAAAATGACTAATGGGGTCCAGAAGCCATCCAGGCCATCCAGTAACCCTAACTCTGGCAGGAAATAAGATTGAGTTTTTAATTTACACAGGAACTACTTATCCAGCCCTAAGTAGTTTTTTTGGTCCTACCTTTTGGTCTTCAATCTTCCTCACCAGCATATATGCCAGGCCAGGTCAGGCCAGAGCAGGGATGCTTCACCTCCCCCCAACTATTTTTTTTGAGGTAGAGTCCTGCTCTTTTGCCCAGGCTGGAGTGCAGTGGTGCAATGTCAGCTCACTGCAACCTCTGCCTCCTGGGTTCAAATGATTCTCCTGCCTCAGCCTCGTGAGTAGCTGGGACTGCAGTCACCCAGCTAATTTCTGTGTTTTTAGTAGAAATGGGTTTTCCCATGTTGGCCAGGCTGGTCTCAAACTCCTAACCTCAGGTGATTTACTGGCCTCAGCCTTCCAATGTTAGGATTACAGGTGCGAGCCACTGTGCCCGAACTCCAGCTTGTTTTAAGAATCCAGTAACATCACGATGTTTAACAATTGGCTTAGATATTCAGAAGCAGCGGATGTAAACTTTTAATGAATTTTGTGCATAAATAAATTATATCAAAGTAAGCGAATTCCATGAAGCTGAGAATGATGTCTTCTGGCTTTGCTACCTGGTAACTCCTTTAGTGCACTGTGCCCCCTACCAAGCATCATAGGGAGCAGGGACAAAGGAGGTGGGTGGGAGCACAGGGACACAGGCATGGTGACGTCCATCCCTGCCTTGCCCCCATCCTGTCCACCCCTTTCTATAATACAATCATTTGATAATGGTTTCCCATGTGTAAAATATTTGCCTGGTTCAGTCACAGAGAGACACTTGATGTTCAAATTAACTGAGGAAGAAGCTATTCACATGCCAAGTAGAAACTTCAAAAAAATTCCTGAATTAGCTGTGTTCTTGAAGTAAAACCAACTTAAAAGATTGAGTGTGTATCCAAGCAAGCCTGCTTGGCTTCTTGGCTTTCTGTGCTCCCCATTTCTTCCTCCTTTCAGAGCATGGATTCTATTTTCAAACCTGGGAAAAGAGGTCCTCAAGGTGGGAGGTGAAGACAGGAGGATAAAAAATCAGGAGTTCAAGACCAGCCTTGTCAATATAGTGAGATCTTGTCTCTAGAAAAAAAAAAATTAATCGGCTGATTCTGGCGGTGCCTGCCTGTGGTCCCAACTCCTCAGGATGCTGAGGCATCACTTGAGCCCAGGAATTGGAAGCTGCAGTGAGCTGTAATCATGCCACTGCACTCCAGCCTGTGTGGCAGAGCAAGACCCTGTCTAAAAACAACAAAAAGGCAGGCTCAGTGGCTCACACCTGTAATCCCAGCACTTTGGGAGGCTGAGGCAGGAAGATCTCTTGAGGCCAGGAGTTTGAGACCAGCCTGGGAAACATAGTGTGACCGTGTCTTAGATTAAAAAAAAAAAAGGCTGGACACAGTGGCTCAGTCATGTCATCCCAACACTTTGGGAGGCCAAGACAGGCAGATCACAAGGTCAGCAGTTAAAGATCAGCCTGGTCAACATGGCGAAATGCTGTCTCTACTAAAAATACAAAAATTAGCTAAACACGGTGACACATGCCTGTAATCTTTGCTACTCAGGAGGCTGAGACAGGAGAATTGCTTGAACTGGGACCTGGGAAGCAGATAACGTAGTGAGCAGAGATCGCACCACTGCACTCCAGCCTGGGCTACTGAGAGAGATTCTGCCTCAAAAAAAAAAAAAATGTTTGGGAACTTCCACTTCCACAATGTAGACATCCGGTGCTGGGGACTATTTCGCATCATAACCAAGACACGTGGCCGGAGAGTCTGTGATGATTATTTGTGTTTGTGCAAACTCAAGAGGAGACAAGCTCCTGGACCAAGAGGCACTCTGTAACTGTATGGAGCAGACACATGAGGAGAGACAGGTTATTGCCTCCTGCACTAAAGGAATGAACCAAGATGTTGATTTTGAAGAGCCAACACTTTCCCAAGAAGCCTCCACAGTGTGACCTCACAGGGCCTCCACCAGCACTGAGTCAGAATTAAGGCCTCCAAGGCAGGGCCATATTCTCGCAGAGGCCCTCCTCAAAACTTGGCCTCAAGTGATCAAAAGATGTTGATTTGGCAGCTCCTCACCAGACGTCCTGCTCCCACTCTTGCTTTTCCATACCCAGTCTCTTCATAAGCAGCTGGAATTTTTTGGTGTTTCTGTTTTGTTGTGTTTTTCTTTGTGAGAGAGTCTCTCTGTCACCCAGGCTGAAGTGCAGTGGTATGATCTCTGCTTACTGCAACCTCCACCTTATGGGTTAAAGCAATTCTCATGCCTTAGCCTCCCAAGTAGCTGGGATTACAGGCACCTGCTACCATGCCTAGATAATTTTTTAGTAGAGAAAGGTTTCACCATGCTGGCCAGGCTGGTTTTGAACTGTTGACCTCAGGCAATTCACCTGCCTTGGCCTCCCAAAGTGCTGGGATTACAGGCATAAGCCACCATGCCAGGCCTCTTTTAGTTATTTTAAACTATACACTAAATTACTGTTTACCATTGTCACTCTGTTTTACTATCAACTACTGCATCTTATTCTTTCCAACTGTATTTTTGTACCCATTAATTATTCCTGTGCACTCCCTCCAGCCCACCACCCTCCCCAGCCTACGGTAACCATCATTCTACCTCTATCTCCATGAGTTCAATTGTTTTTATTTTTAGCACCCACAAATGACTGGGAGCCTGCAAAATTTGTCTTTCTGCATCTGGCTTATTTTAGTTAACAAAGTGATCTCCAGTTCTACACTTGTTGTTGCAAATAACAGATTCTATTCTTTTTAATGGCTGAATAATATTCCATTGTGAGTATGTACCACATTTTCTTTATCCATTCACCTGTTGAGGGACACTTAGATTGCTTCCAAATCTTGGCTATTGTGAATAGTATTGCAATAAATATAGAGATGTAGATAATTCTTTGATATGCTGATTTTCTTTCTTTTGGGTTCATACCCAGCAGTAGGATTCCAATGCCATATAAAAGCTCTCTTTTTAGTTCTTCGGGACCCTCCAAACCATTCTCCATTGTGGCGGCACTAATCTACATTCCCACCAACAGTGTACTAGGGTTCCCTTTTCTCCACACTCTAATTAGCAACTGTTGTTGCCTGTCTTTTAGCTGTGGGATGATAGCTCATTGTAGTTTTAATTGGCATTTCTCTGATGATCAATGATGTTGAGGACCTTTTCATATACCCACTTGCCATTTATAGATCTTCTTTTGATAAATGTCTATTCTGATCATTTGCACATTTTAAATCAGATTATGAGAGCTTTTTTCCTATTTATTTTTCCCCTGAGCTTGTAATATACTCTGGTTTTTAATCCCTCATCAGATGGATTCAGGATTTTGTCTTTATTTTACACCCAATTCTAAACCATTAAATGCTGTCAAGTGGAGAAGTGACCTAATATTTATATTGGAAGATGACTTTGTGTGTTTGCTATCTATCGCTGTGTAACAGACCAGCCTGGCATGGCGGCTCACACCTGTAATCCCAGCACTTTGGGAGGCCAAGGCAGGTGGATCACAAGGTCAGGAGTTTGAGACCAGCCTGGCCAACATTATGAACCCTGTCTTTACTAAAAATACAAAACTTAGCCAGGTGTGGAAATGCATACCTGTAATCCTAGCTACTCAGGAGGCTGAGACAGCAGAATCACTTGAACTCCAGAGGCAGAGGTTGCAGTGAGCTGAGATCATGCCACTGCACTCCAGCTCAGGGGACAAAGTGAGAAAGTGAGACTCTGTCTCAGAAAACAAACAAACAAGAAAAAAAACCCACCCAACGCATAAAGTTACAATGATGTTTATTAGTCTTCTCACACGTCTGGAGGCTGACTAGACTAACTTAGGCAGTTCTGGCTCAGGATGTAGTTGCCTTCAAACAGTATGGAGTTAGAAGTGTCAAAGGTTTCCTTGCTCAAATATCTCCTGGTTAATGTGCGCTGTCAGCCAGGGCTTAGCTGGGGCTACCTGGTGGAATACCCACACATAACCTCCCTGCATGGCCTGGGCTTTCTCACAAAATGGTGAATGGGATCTAAGTGCACACCTCCCAGGAAGGAGAGCCAAGTGGAAACAGTATCATCTTTTAAGACCTAACTTTGGCAGGTCATGAGCAGCACCTCTACTTTATTTTACTTACAGAAGCAGTGGTCTAAGCTCGTTTTCAAGGGAAGAGAAACTGAATTCTATCTCTCCATGACAAGTGCAAAAAAATATGCAGACAACTATTAACAATAGTGAAGAGATGAAATCAACCTAAGTTTCCTGCCATCAATAGAGAAAAGAATAAAAAAAATGTGGCCGGGTGTGGTGGCTCACGCGTGTAATCCTAGCAATTTGGAAGGTTAAGGGGGGTGCATCACCTGTGGTCAGGAGTTTGAGACCAGACTGGCAAACATGGTGAAACCTCTCTCTAACAAAACACCTGGGATTGCAGGTGTGTTGTGGTGCACACCTGCAATCCCAGCTACTTTGGGAGGCTGAGGCAGGAGAATGACTTGAACTTGGGAGGTAAGGGTTGCAGTGAGCTGAGATTGCACCACTGAACTCCAGGCTGGGTGACAGAGACTCCATCTCAAAAAATAAAAAATAAAAGTGAATCAGAGAATGAAATAACTACATTAAAGCAACTGAAAAAATTATGGAAATTAGAGAGAGTAGTCTAACACTGGGTTGTCAATAGGTGGCCCTGAGTGAGAGAACCTTAAAAAAAAAAAAAAACAAGCCTGAGCATGGTGGCTCACACCTATAATCCCAGTGCTTTAGCAGGCTAACTGGGAGAATAGCATGAGGCCAGGAGTTCCGGAAAGCTTAGGCAACACAGAAAAACCCCATCTCTAGAAAAGTAACAAAAATTAGCCAGGTGTGGTGGTGCATGCCTGTAGTCAGAGCTACGACAGAGGCTGAGGCAGGAAGATTTTTTAAGCCCAGGTGTTTAAGGCTGCACTGAGCTATGATTACACCACTTTGTTCTAGAACCTGGGTGACAGAGCAAGGCATTGTCTTGAAAGAAAGAAAGAAATGTAAGAATAAAGGGAGTAAAAGAAGGAGGAAGGGAGGGAGGGAGGGAAGGAAGGAAGAAAGAAAAGAAAGGGAGGGAGGAAGGAGAGAAGGAATGGAGGGAGGGAGAAAAGAAGGGAGCGAGGGAGAGGAGAGAGAGTGAAAAAGAAAGAAGGAAATGAAGGAATGCAGAGATAGAGAAGTACATAATCAGTGGTCAAAAGGCACACCATATATCTGGAAAAACTAATACAGAATGACCTAGAGCCAACCCTGTCTAAGCTACCGAACTTCAATGATAAAGAAAGTACTCCACTGGCCTGTTGGCAGGAAAATATAACACACATGTGAGAAGAACCTCCAGCCAGCCTCAGACCTTCCCATAGCCCCAGCCAGAACCAGATGACGATAGAGTCAGAACTTAAAGAACTAAAGAAAAATTAATCAAGAATATTCTCTCGAGAGATGTCATCCAAGTATACAAGCACTAAACAGAAACTATCAAACCAATTTGAAAAATACAGCAGCTGTGGGTGAAGATAGAAACCGCAGATTAAAAAGAATCATGACACATTTATCTTTTTCATAATTTTAATGAATGTTGAATGAAAAGGTATCACTTGCACATAGGCATTTATCTGAAGTTCAGAAATTCTCCCACCTTTAGTTTCTGCAGCTTCTGTTGTATCGGGAAAATGAAACATATATATTTAAACTAAACACAAACAAAATATGTAGTTATTTTTTATCAATCGATCTATTCATCTAACTCCCTATTTGTACAAAAAGAGTTTTGAATTAATTATCACCTTTTTTTGTGAGTCAGTCTCACTCTGTTACCCAGGCTGGAGTGGAATGGTACCATCTCGGCTCACTGCAACCTCTGCCTCCTGGGCTCAAGTGGTTTTTGTCCCTCAGCCTCTCGAGTAGTTGGGGTTACAGGCACCCACCACGATGCCTGGATAACTTTGGAATTTTTAGTAGAGAGAGTGTTTCACCATGTTGGCCAGGCTGGTCTCAAACTCCCGACTTCAAGTGATCCACCCACCTCAGCCTCCCAAACTGCTGAGATTGCAGGCATGAGATACAGCACCCAGCCATATCACCTAATGTTGAGTTATTTTTTGGTAAATGAAAATTTCATGATTTGCTACTTCTCTCTCTCTCTCTCTCAACAGGGTCTCACTCTGTTTCCAAGGCAGAAACCTCAAACTCCTGGGTTCTAGTGATCCACTACCTCACCCTCCTGAGTAGCTAGCACTGCAGGTGCTCATTACCATAACTGGTTTATAATTTTTTATAGAGACGGGATCTTGCTATGTTGCTCATGCTTGTCTTGAACTCCTGAGTTCAAGTGATTGGCCCACCTCACCCTCCCAAATTGTTAAAATTATAGGCATGAGCCACCATGCCCAGCCTCTTTGTACTTTTCTATAGGACTTATATTTCTTTATAATAATTACAAATTTTTTTTAAGCCATCATTATTCTAAGCTTTTCAAAATTAAGTACTAATTAAGAATGTGCTACAGAAAGTAGTATTTATTCAGCACCTATTATATACAAGATATTTTGCCTATAGTGGACCACCTAATTGACATATCAAGGCAGAAATTATAATTTTATTTTCTGGGAGAGAAAATTGACACAATTATTTCTTAACTCTAGAGTTACAGTTACACAGCTGCTGCCAAAACAAGTGCCCATCCGAACAGCCTACACTTTCTGCTTTTATCAAATTCAACCCCCTACTTCTGTCTCCACATCTGTGTACAAGAATGTATGCATGCATGCATGCATCCACAAGCACATGTGCGCGCACACACACACACACTCCTGCAATATTTCATCTGCCTAGGCCAGGAAATTGTCATAACAAACCAAATGCAATAACTATTTCCTTACAAAAGCTGTTATTCCATATCGCTAAGATTTGGAAAATAGTTTCTGATTCCACACTGATGAGGGTTACAATGAGGTTTCAAGAGAAGTAAGAATTACAAAGCAACCTAATGAATGCAAAAGGGCATGATGTTCAGATACATCAAGCCCTTTGAGATGCTCCACTAGAAGGTCGAGCTGCCAAGTACAATTGACTCATGGTCATCCTGGTCCATGGTCATTAATAATGATACTTTGTACTTCTTTCCTATTTGTGCTAAGGGTCATTTCAAAAGCTGGAAGAAGCTTATCAATTTCTGGGTATGCAAATATCTCTTTCACAATGTTTATGGTGGGTGTGTGTGCATGCTATGAAAAGATATACACACAAATATTCACATATAAATATATACACACATATCTACATGTGTTTATAGTACACTAAAAGGTAAATCCTTAATGATCCATAAAGAGAAAATGGCAGACCAGGTGTAGTGCCTCACACTTGCAATCCCAGCACAGTGGGAGGTTGAGTGGGGAGGATCAGTTGAGCCCAAGAGTTTGAAGCTGGGTGAGACCCTGTGTCTACACAAATATAAAAATTAGATGGGCATGGCAGCTCTCCCATCTACTCAGAAGGCCAAGGTGGGAGGATCACTTAAGCCAAGAAGGCAGGAGTTGCAGTGAGCCGAGATCACACCACTGCACTTCAGCCTGAATGACAAAGCAGTAACTTGTCTCAAAAAAGAAAGAAAAAAATTGATATCCCAGAAAACATTAAAATATCTATATATTCACAAATGTATATAACCATAGCATATTAATCAAAAAGTAAATTATTAGTTGTACATGGCAAGCAAAGGACAGGTCATAGATGATGGTTCATGTTTCTAATCTCAGCAGTTTGAGAGGCCCAGGAAAGAGGATTATTGTTGTCCAAGAGTTTAAGACCAGCTTACCTGAAAAACTTGGTGAAACCCCATCTATATTAACAATACAATGTGATATGGCTGGCCCAGAGTTAGAACCTGTACACTGCCGTTTTATAAAAGACAAAACTGTTTCCATTCTCCTCACAATAACTGCTAACCTTGGCCTCTGTAAACTGCTAGTTTACTTTGCAGAATGCAAAGAGGTAAAGCTGCATACCTTCTCTTATCTGTAACTGCCAGAATTGCTGGCCTTTGTTTACCGGTAATGACCAGAGTAAGCACCCCCAGATAATTCCATCCTGATGCAAAGTAACTAGAAAATCTGTGGACCCCACACCTGCCCAAATAATGTTTAGAAACTAATGTTTATCTTGACTTCTGTAAACCACTTAAGTGGCAATTGGAATGACAAAAGTCGCCTGGCCCTTGGACTGTCCAGAGCCCCATCACCCTCCGCTCTGCCCATGAGGTGATTTACAGCCCCCGAAATGTCTGAAGACTTTCATCCCATCCCCACTCCTCACCCCCACTCCCAAGGTGGTTTTGCGGGTATAAAAAGGTCTTGTCACCCTTCTTTCTCTGCCACGGGTTGGACAGACGTGAGTCCTCTGTGGTCGCCGGCAATAAACCCTGCAATTGGGCATACTTTTGTCTTGGTGTTTTCTATGCTCGTCCCGATACAACAACAAAAATTAGCCGGTCTTGGCGGCACGCACCTATCATCCCAGCTACTCAGGAGGCTGAGGTAGGAGAATCACTTGAACCCAGGAGGCCAAGGCTGCAATGAGCTGAGATCCTGCCACTGCACTCTAGACTGGGCAACTGAGTGAGACTCCATCTCAAAAAAAAAAAAAAACGACCACCCTGAGCAACAGAGAACCAACTTCTCAAACCAAACCAGAATTTAGTCAGAAATGGCAACGTCTGCCTGTAGTCCCAGCTACTGAAGATGATGACTGGGGAAAATCAGTAAAGGCCAAAAGGCCAAGGCTGCAGTGGAGCCATGATCACATGATGACACCCAAGCCTGGGTGACAGAGCAAGAGGATAAAAGTTAACAGGAAAAAATATAAAAAACAAGACCTGAAATGAGCAGCTACCATGTCCAGGGCAAAGACAAACAGACAAAGCAGAGGCTTAATCTGCTCTGAACCCCCAGAAGACAAGAAAAACAATGAGACATTAAATAAAACAGAACACACTGTAAAATGACATAGGCAGAATTTACTACAAATCGGTCAGAAATACACTTTCAAGATTAAAAGTAGACATAGGCATTTAGCCAAGGCACACTGCTAGGAACTAAACACATGAGAGTCCAGGGAAGCTTTGGGATTCTAGATGCAGTTGAGAATCAAAGACATATACAGCTGGATCAAGAAGAGGCCATTATAATGCACGTGCACTGCAGAAAAAGCCACCATGAGAGGAGATGAGACTTGAGTGTCCATTAAGACGCAGGAGAAGAGCCTGAAGAGGCCATCGTGAGGCAGGAACTGAGGTGAAAAAGTCCACAGCAAAACAGAAGTTGCATCTTCAGAGGCAGACATGACTAAGCAGATGGTCTTGGAGACACCAGTGTGTACGAAAGGAAGACCTGCCAAAAGGGTTGAAAAACAGGTATTAAATAAGCCTCAGGAGGCCCACATGAGATAACCTCTAGGCTTTGATAGACGGCTTTGAGGAAAGCACTGTGTCTGTCCGGACCACCGGGAGGCCGAAGGAGGGCCTGAAAAGTCCATATAATGAAGGCTGAGGTGTACAGAATTTACCAAGAGGTGGGAAGAAGCTGGGCCTGTGATGCTTCTTGCAAGGAAAGACTGGGGCTTCCAGACACAACAGGGAGGAAGAGCTGGGCCTAAAGAGGCTGACCTGAAGACATTTTGGGAATAAAGAGGATGCCAGAATGCCAATGCTGGGCCTGGCAGGGCCACTGGGAGGCACCAGCTTGGTCTGATGGGGACACGGGGAGGCTGGGGGAGGGCCTGAAAATAAAGGCTGCCACAGAGGCAGGAGCTAAGCCTGAGCAGTGGCCACAGTAATGCCACAAGCTGGGCCTGGAGGGTCCATTGAAAAGTGGAGGCCGGGCCCGGAGGGGCCTGGCAAAGGCAGGAGCCGGGCCTAAGGAGGCCGGGCCCGGAGATGAAGCTTTGGGCCTGGATAAGCCGCCAGGAGGCAGGAGCTGGCCCAGGAGAGTCCATGATAGGCGAGCTCAGCTGAGGAAGGCCGCTGCGAGGGAGAACCTGGGCCTAGACTAGAGGCCAGCGTGAGGTGAAAGCTGGGTCCGGAGAGGTTTGTCACAGGCATGAGCTGGGCCTCAATGAATCAGTGTCAGGGAGGAACTAGGCCTGTGGACACAGCCGGGATGCAGGCAAGCAGGCAGTATCTTGGCCTGGGGAAGCCACCAGCAGGCAGCAACTGGGGCTGGGGAGGCTGCGGGAGGTCCAGAGCTGGCCTGGAGCAGCCAACATCAGGCGGTAGCAGGGTCTGTCAAGGCCACCAGGAGGCAGAATGGCAGCCTAGAAAGCCCCACTTGAGAACACTTTGGGCTGACAGATGAAAGGCCGCGGGAAGCTGGCCAGGGGCCGAGCCAAAAGAAGCTGCCAGAAGGCAGGACGGGCCGGTAGACAGGGCCAGGAGGAGGATCCAGATCTGGGGAGTCCCCCAGAGAGGAGGCATACACTGGACCTCCCGAAGAGGCTGACAGGAGGCAAAAGCTGGGCCCACGGGGCCTTTGGGAGGCAGAAGCTCAACTTGGAGGGGCCCACCTGATGAAGTTTTGTGCCCATGAGGAGATGCCAGGAGGGCAGGAGCTGGGTCTGGAGAGGCTGAATTCAGGACCCAATACTGGGCCTCCCATGGCCAGCAGGAAAAGGCAACAAGAGCCGGGCTGGCAGAAGCCGACTTGGGAATGTCTGGGGCCTGGAGATGCCCTGGGAGGGCAGGAGCTGAGCTCGGAGAGGCCACTAATGAGGCATGAGCCGGGTGGGCCTGGAGAGCCTGAGTCGATAGTCTGAGCTTTCGGGCCTACAGAGGCCATCGGGAGCTGGGCAGGAGCCAAGTCCACAGAGGTTGCTGCAAGAAAAATTCGCATGTTGGGCCTGTAGATGCTGCTGAGAGGAGGCGCGGGGCCCAGAGAGGCCGACCTGAAGACGTTCTGGACACGAAGAGGATGCCAGAAGGCCAACGCTGGGCCCGGCAGGGTCCCCTGGGAGGCACTGGCTTGGCCCCAGGGGGCCACGAGGAGGCTGGGGCCTGGGCCTGTGGAAACAGGCTGCCACAAAGGCAGAAGCGGAGTCTGAAGGGTCCTCTGAGAGGCGGAAACTGGGCCCAAGGGCCTAGCACAGGCAGGAGCCCGGTGTGGGGATGCTGGGCCCAGAGAGAAACCTTCAGGCCCTGACAGGCCGCCGGAGGACAGGAGCTGACCCGGGAGAGTCCATGACAGGTGAGCTAGGCCGAGAAAGGCCGGTGCGAAGGACGTGCGCCCAGAGTCGAGGCCAGCGCCAGGTGATAGCTGGCTCCACAGGCGTCTTTCAGAGGCATGAATTGGGCCTCAACTGGCCAGTGTGAAGGAGGCGCTGGGCCTGTGGATGCAGCCGGAATGCAGGCAGGCAGGCAGGTAGGAAAAATCTTGGACTGCGGAAGCAGCCAGCAGGCAGCAGCTGGGGCTGGGGAGGCTGCGGCGAGTCCAGAGCATGGCCCTTGGGCCCAGTCCTGCTTTGTCCTCCCGCTGGCCTTGGGAGGCTCAAGCAGTGGGTCATGAAGTCCGCCTCAACAGGTCAACCTCCTACCCTCCTGGCAGCACCGCCCAACGTGGGTGCAATACACCATCACGTGGTCCCCTCCAGAACCAGCTCCTGCATCCCAGTGGCCCCCTGGGGCCCAGCTTCTGATTCCCATCAGGTGGCCTCTCCAGGAGGCCCATCCTCTGCCTCCCTACTGGCAGCCTCACCAGGCCTGGATCCTCATCCTGGTCACATCTACAGGCCCAAGTTTTGCCCCCAGCAGCCTGTTTTGGCTTGGCTCCAGTCCAGCTCCCAGCAGCCTTTTGTCTGTTGGTGTGAACCTTCCTCAGGTGGGGCCTTCTAAGTGTCCCTTCTGTTGAGGCCACCGGGAGGCAAAAGGGAGGCCTGGAAGGCCTTACCTGAGACAGCTTTGGGCCGACAGACGAAAGCCCGCCGGGAGCTGGCCAGGAGCCGAGCCAAAAACCGCTGCTGGGGAGCAGGTGTGATAACTCACGCCTGTAATCCCGGTACTTTGGGAGGCCGAGGTGGGTGGATCATGAGGTCAGGAGATCGAGACCATCCTGATCAACATGGTGAAACCCTGTCTCACCTAAAAATACAAAAAATTAGCTGGCCATGGTGGCGTGTGCCTGTAATGCCAGATTATGCAGAAGGCTGAGGCAGGAGAATTGCCTGAACCCAGGAGGTGGAGGTTGCGGAGAGCTGAGATCGTGCCATTGCACTGCAGCCTGGGCAAGAAGAGCGAAACTCCATCTCAAAAAAAAGAAAAAAAATTGCTGGGCACAGTGGCGGGTGCCTGTAATCCCAGCTACTCAGGAGGCTGAGGCAGAATTGCCTGAACCCAGGAGGCGGAGGTTGCGGTGAGCCGAGATCGCGCCATTCTACTCCAGCCTGGGTAACAAGAGCAAAATTCTGTCTCCAAAAAAAAAAAAAAAAAAATACAAAAAATTAACTGGGCATGGTGGTGCATCCCTGTAATCCCAGCTACTCAGGAGGCTGAGGTAGGAGAACTGCCTGAACCCAAAAGGCGGAGGTTGAGGTGAGATGAAAGCACACCATTGCACTCCCGCCTGGGTAACAAGAGCAAAACTCCGTCTCAAAAAAAAAAAAAAAAGGCTGCCGGAGGCAAAACATGGGCCCGGAGACATGGCCAGGAGGAGGATCCAGGCCTGGAGAGGCCGCCAGTACAGAGGCAGAGGCTAGGTGTCCAGGAGAGGCTGAAGGAAAGCAGAAGCTAAGCCTAGGGGGCCTTTGGGAGGCATGAGCTGGCCCTAGAATGGCCCACGTGATGACGTTTTGCACCCATGGGGAGGAGATGCCAGGAGGACTGAAGCTGGGCCTGAAGAGGCTGAATTGAGAAGCCAATGCTTAGGCCTGCAGAGGCCAATAGGAGGAGTGTGGAGCCGGGCCTGGAGAAGCCAACTCTGGGACATCTGGGGCCTATAGGCACCGTGGGTGGGCAGAAGGTGAGCCCGGAGAGGCCAGCGTGAGGCATGAGCCGGGTAGTCCTGGAAAGCCTGAGTCGATGGTCTGAGCTTTCAGGCCCACAAAGGCCGTCGGGAGCTGGGCAGGAGCCGAGTCCACACAGGTTGCTGCGAGGCAAATTCAGAAGTTGGGCCTGTAGACGCTGCCGAGGAGGCGCTGGGTCCTGAGAGGCCGACTGAAGACGTTCTGGACACGAAGAGGATGCCAGAAGGCCAACGCTGGGCCCGGCAGGGCCCACTGGGAGGCACTGGCTTGGCCCCAGGGGGCCAATGGGAGGCTGGGGTCTGGGCCTGTGGAAACAGGCTGCCACAGTCAGAAGCGGGGTCTGAAGGGTCCTCTGAGAGGCGGAGGCTGGGCCCGAGGGCCTAGCGCAGGCAGGAGTCCAGTGTGGGGAGGCTGGGCCCGGAGTGAAAGCTTTGGGCCCTGACAGGCCGCCAGGGGACAGGAGCTGGCACGCGAGAGTCCATCACAAGACAGGAGCTGGGCTGAGAAAGGCTGGTGCGAGGGAGGACCTGCGCCCAGAGTAGAGGCCATCACCAGGCGATAGCTGGCTCCAGAGACGTCTTTCAGAGGCATGAATTGGGCCTCAACTGGCCAGTGTGAGGGAGGCGCTGGGCCTGTGGATGCAGCCGAGATGCAGGGAGGCAGGCAGGCAGGCAGGCAGGCAGGAAAGATGGCCTGCGGAAGCAGCCAGCAGGCAGCAGCTGGGGCTGTGGGGGCAGCGGGGAGTCCAGAGCTCAGCCCTGAGGCCCAGTCCTGCTTTGTCCTCCCGCTGGCCTTGGGAGGCCCAAGCACTGGGTCATGAAGTCCGCCTCTGCAGGTCCAGCTCCTGCCCTCCTGGCAGCACCCCCCAACCTGGGCGCAGTACATCATCACGTGGTCCCCTCCAGGGCCAGCTCCTGCATCCCAGTGGCCCTCTGGGGCCCAGCTCCTGATTCCCATCAGGTGGCCTCTCCAGGAGGCCCAGCCTATACCTCCCTACTGGCAGCCTCACCAGGCCTGGATCCTCATACTGGCCACGTCTACGGGCCCAATTTTGCCCCTGGCAGCCTCTTTCGGCTCGGCTCCTCGCCAGCTCATGGCGGCCTTTCATCTGTCGGCGTGAAGCTTCTTCAGGTGGGGCTTTCGGGCGTCCCTTCTGCCTCCCGGTGTCCTCAACAGAAGGGACACCCAGAAGGCCCCACCTGAGAAAGCATTGGGTTGACAGACAAAAGGCCGCTGGGAGCTGGCCAGGAGCTGAGCCAAAAGACGCTGCTGGGGACCAGGCGCAGTAACTCACGCCTGTAATCCCGGCACTTTGGGAGGCAGAGGCGGGTGGATCAGGAGATCAGGAGATCGAGACCATCCTGGTCAACATGGTGAAACCCCGTCTCACCTAAAAATACAAAAAATTAGCCGGGCATGGTGGCGTGTGCCTTAATCCTAGGTACTCAGAAGGCTGAGGAAGGAGAATTGCCTGAACCCAGGAGGCGGAGGTTGCAGTGATCCGAGATGGCACCATTGCACTCCAGCCTGGGTAACAAAAGCGAAACTCCGTCTCAAAAAAAAAAAAAAAAAAAAAAAAAAAAAATTACCCGAACACGGTGGCACGTGCCTGTAATCCCATATACTCAGGCGGCTGAGGCAGGAGGATTGCCTAAACCCAGGAAACGGAGGTTGGAGTGAGCCAAGATCATGCCATTCTACTCCAGCCTGGGTAACAAGAGCGAAACTCCATCTCAAAAAAACAAAAATACTAAGAATTAGCTGGGCATGGTGGCCCATACCTGTAATCCCAGCCACTCAGGAGGCTGAGGCAGGACAATTGCCTGAACCCAGGAGGCAGAGGCTGAGGTGAGCCGAGATGACACCATTGCACTCACGGCTGGGTAACAAGAGCAAAACTGCGTTTCAAAATAAAAACAAAAAAAGGCTGCCGGGGGCAAAGCTTGGGCCCGTAGATGTGGCCAGGAGGAGGATCCAGGCCTGGAGAGGCCACCAGTACAGAGGCAGAGGGTAGGCATCCAGAAGAGGCTGACGGGAGGCAGGAGGTGAGCCCAGGGGGCCTTTGGGAGGCACGAGCTGGCCCTAGAAGGGCCCACGTGATGACGTTTTGCACCCATGGGGAGGAGATGCCAGGAGGACTGAAGCTGGGCCTGGAGAGGCTGAATTGAGAACCCAATGCTTGAACCTGCAGAGGCCAATAGGAAGAGTCTGGAGCTGGGCCTGGAGAAGCCAACTCTGGGACATCTGGGGCCTACAGGCACCCTGGGTGGGCAGAAGGTGAGCCCGGAGAGGCCAGCCTGAGGCATGAGCCGGGTAGTCCTGGAGAGCCTGAGTCGATGGTCTGAGCGTTCGGGCCTACAAAGGCCATCGGGAGCTGGGCAGGAGCCGAGTCCACAGAGGTTGCTGTGAGGCAAATTCAGAAGTTGGGCCTGTAGACGCTGCCGAGAGGAGGCGCTGGGCCCCGAGGGGCCTATCTGAAGACATTCTGCAGCCCGAGAGGAGGCCACCAGGCCAATGCTGGGTCTAAAAGGGCAGTCTGGAGCAGTGGTTTGGCCCGAGGGGGCCACTGGGAGGCCAGGAGCTGGGCCTGCAGAGACAGGCTGCCACAGAGGCAGGAGCTGGTCTGAGCGGAGCCCACGATGAGGTCACGAGCTGGGTCTGGGGGGTCCACTGAGAGGCGGATGCTCAACCCAGAGGGGCTTAGCGCTGGCAGGAACCAGGCCTGGAGAGGCCAGGCCTGGAGAGGAAGCTTCGGGCCTGGACAGGCCGCTGGGATGCAGGAGCTGAACAGAGAGTTTATGAGAGGCAAGCTGGGCTGAGAATAGCCGGTGGGAGGAAGGAAACAAAAAAAAATTCAAAAAATTTGCTGGGCATGGTGGTGCATGCCTGTAATCCCAGCTACTCAGGAGGTTGAGGCAGGAGAACTGCCTGAACTCAGGAGGTGGACGTTGAGGTGAGCCGAGATCACACCATTGCACTCGCGGCTGGGTAACAAGAGCAGAACTGCGTTTCAAAAGAAAAGGCTGCCGGGGGCAAAGCTTGGGCCCGTAGATGTGGCCAGGAGGAGGATCCAGGCCTGGAGAGGCCACCAGTACAGAGGCAGAGGGTAGGCATCCAGAAGAGGCTGATGGGAGGCAGGAGGTAAGCCCAGGGGGCCTTTGGGAGGCACGAGCTGGCCCTAGAAGGGCCCACGTGATGTTTTGCACCCATGGAAAGGAGACGCCAGGAGGACTGAAGCTGGGCCTGGAGAGACTGAATTGAGAACCCAATGCTTGAACCTGCAGAGGCCAATAGGAGGAGTCTGGAGCTGGGCCTGGAGAAGCCAACTCTGGAACATCTGGGGCCTATAGGCACCCTGGGTGGGCAGAAGGTGAGCCCGGAGAGGCCAGCATGAGGCATGAGCCGGGTAGTCCTGGAGAGCCTGAGTCGATGGTCTGAGCATGCGGGCCTACAAAGGCCGTCGGGAGCTGGGCAGGAGCCGAGTCCACAGAGGTTGCTGTGAGGCAAATTCAGAAGTTGGGCCTGTAGACGCTGCCGAGAGGAGGTGCTGAGCCCCGAGGGGCCTATCTGAAGACATTCTGCAGCCCAAGAGGACGCCACCAGGCCAATGCTGGGTCTAAGAGGGCAGTCTGGAGCAGTGGTTTGGCCCGAGGGGGCCACTGGGAGGCCAGGAGCTGGGCCTGTGGAGACAGGCTGCCACAGAGGCAGGAGCTGGTCTGAGCGGAGCCCACAATGAGGCCACGAGCTGGGTCTGGGGGGTCCACTGAGAGGCGGACACTCAACCCGGAGGGGCTTAGAGCTGGCAGGAGCCAGGCCTGGAGAGGCCAGGCCCGGAGAGGAAGCTTCAGGCCTGGACAGGCTGCTGGGATGCAGGAGCTGAACGAGGCTTTATGAGAGGCAAGCTGGGCCGAGAAAAGCCGGTGCGAGGAAGGAAAAAAAAAAAATACAAAAAATTAGCTGGGCATGGTGGCGCATGCCTGTAATCCCAGCTACTCAGGAGGTTGAGGCAGGAGAATTGCCTGAACACAGGAGGCGGAAGTTGAGGTGAGCCGAGATCACACCATTGCACTCGCGGCTGGGTAACAAAAGCAAAACTGCACTAAAAAAAAAAAAAAAAAAGGCTGCCGGGGGCAAAGCTTGGGCCTGTTGCCTGGGCCCAGACTCAAGGCCAGTACAAGGCGATAGCTAAGTCCAGAGACATCTGCTAGAGGCCAAGCTGGGCCTCAACTGGCCAGTGTGAGGGAGGCGTTGAATTTGTGGACAAAGTTGAAAGGTAGGCAGGATCTTGGCCTGGGGAAGTGGCCGACAGACAGTGGATGGTGCTGGGGGTGCTGTAAGGCCAGAACTGGGCATGGAGAGGCCAATGTCAGGATGTAGCTGGGCCTGTCAAGGCCACCGGGAGGCAG